CAAGGGCACCGGCGTCGTCTGCCAGGCAGTGCGCAAAATTGTGGGCGAGTACGGCAACTCGCCAACGGGACAGACGTGCATACTGGAGGTATCCGATCAGGGTCTACGAATGGTCGATCGCTCGGCGCCAAATGTAAGTTGGACTTGGGAGTGGATTGAGTTGATGTATAGGTTAGCTAATGTGGCTAATTGAGTAAGGGAAAGTATATCTTGCCTTTGATAGGGAAGTAACTGAAGGCCCCTAAATCCATATATCCGACAGCTGATAGAATATTTGTTGCAGAACTACTTTCTGATGATCCAAAGAGAGATCTCTGTCTGTAAACTTAAAATTTGCTTTATATAGTCTTAACTCGATTTTCTCGAAAACTATAAAAGCTAGAAACATTTTTTTGTAGACTCTAATGATGAAAAAACTGAACATAAAATAGTATCTGATTTGGATGACTCTCCTCTCTCTCTCTCTCTCTGGAACGATATACGAATTAGGGACATGCCATTTGGTATGCAGGTTTTTGAATACAACACTAGAGAATGTTTGCTTTACTCGATATAAGCCTACATAATATTTCATATCCATTACGTCTTGTGTAATTCTTGAACAGAACAAAAAGGAGAAGAAACCCTGCATCGATTATTTCTACTCACTGAAGAATGTCTCGTTCTGCGCGTTTCATCCGCGCGATCATCGCTTCATTGGCTTCATCACAAAGCATCCGACAGTGCAGCGATTCGCCTGTCACGTCTTCAAGGGCTCCGAGTCTACAAGGCCAGTGGCCGAGGCAGTTGGGTAAGCACTCACACAACCACACACACACAGCTATCTATCTATACAGAACTCATATGTGGTTTCATACTCTCCCCTCTAGTCGCGCCTTTCAGCGTTTCTATCAGAAGTTTATAGAAACAGCTTATCCCATCGAGGACATCTATATTGAGTAGAGAGCGCAATACCTTAAACGAGAATGGAAGGAATACACCATACAAAATATATAGCTCTATATTTTTTGTGTGATTATTAATAAATATAAAAAAAATAAGGACAGAAATGTTTGGTCTTCGTCAAAAAGCTACAAAACACACAAAGTGAAAGGAAACCCCAAAACTTATTCAAAATACAAAAATCATGCAATAAAAATAAATTTAAAAAAAAAAAACGAAATACAGAAAATCTTAAGCTCATATTTGACAGTTCTATCTAAACTATAATAATAATATTTGTTAACTAAATTTTTCTCAAAGTGTAAATAGTTCATTTCGGTTCGTAAAGCCCACAAAGAACACAGCGATTAGACAATTTAAGTGTAACTTATAGAGAAACGCTATAATCCACTCAAATAATGAAAAAAAAAAAACAAAAAATAAACCAAAAACAAAAAATAGACCTCTTAAAGATATTTCGGAATAAATATATATACGATATATGCACAAACCAGATGATAGATAAGTTGCACTCTTTAAACTTGGAAGTCAAATGGAGCTGGTTGTAAGAAAAATACCAGAGTGTACACTCAGAGAGAAATAAATACTAAATAAATTAAGTAAAAAAAATACGGATTTTCGAGAATTTTTTTTTAAATATTTAAAATTTCACTTGAATTAATTGTGCATTAAAAAATAATTACTTTAAGATATTTTCTACTTCCATTTAGTATTTTTTAATGCTTAATTTAAGTATAAAAATTATGAAATTAAATATTTTATGATTAAGTCTTTTTTACTTTTCTAATAATAATTTAACTAATAATTTCGTAATTGATAAAATGAATCTAAAAACTTGCCAAACTTAATTTGTAATAATTGCAAAATAAATATCACAAGTGCAGGCAATTTTTCTCTGAGTGTACAGGCTGAGTGTGGCCAAAGTAGCAATAAGCCTTGACATTTTCGAAAAGAACTTTCATCTGGCTTTTGTGCAGACGCTTTACGAGAACCAAACACGAAAACAAAATATCAGATTCTAATTTCTTATAAACAAGGCTCACTCCACACGCAAATTTTCTAGTATTATAACGAAAAACAAAACCCAAAAACAATTATATATACAAAAAAATATATATAAAAAGAGATGAATATATATGTACTTATACAGAAAACAAAAGGAAATATATATCTATATATAAAAAAACAGAAAACGGAATTAGTTTATATAGCAACGAATGGAATGTTGTGGACGGTAAGTGAAAGACTTTTGTTTTTAATAATTTATGTATAATTTCTTCTATATTTTCATATTTTCATATTTATAATACAACTTAGCTTTACTAGTTGGTTGGTTTTCAATTTTTCATATTTTTACAGCATTATCTTTTCTCGTATTTTACACGTAAATCGAAGTGTTTAGAAATCAAGTTCATAATTATTTAACATACAAAAAAGTTGTGTTATATATATATATATATATATATATATATATATATATATAATTTTTTTTTTCTTTTTTGTAGTATGTTACACAATACTTATATATTTGGATTTACTAGGCATGTGCTTAGATTGTTCGATTTATATACTTATATAACACCTACCCATTGTTAAGCCTACATATCGATCTTTAGTTCCTGACACTAATTACTAGCACTATAGATTTCCCTATGTAGCCCTACGTACTTACGATCTAACTGTTGCCATCTGCTCAACACCTATATCATATCAATAATAATAATAATAATAATAATAATAATAATAATAGCAATAATAGTATAATAATAATAATTTCATTAGTAATACTTATTGTTTGCCTATGTTGCTTATATAAATGTAATTCTTAAAGTTTTTCCATTTTTTTGTTTTTTGTTTTTTTTTTTTAGGCATATTTAAGACATTTTCCTGACTTATATCAAGTATTTAAATATTTATTTAACGCTTGGTCTGGTCTGTATCGAACTTATGGGAACTAAAAAATATATACGATCTATTTCTCTCTATTTTGTGTGTTTTTTATTAACAAGTTCAGAGAATATTGCTTGATTTGTACAAAATACGGCACCAAAAATATTGTGTCCCTACTTTTTAATATATATGTATGTCTGTATGTATGTATATATGTATATACCCAGTTCCATTCATGATTTATGTTTTCCACATACTTTACATTTTGTTTTTAATTGACAAATCGTTTTCAAGGATTACTATGCTATATAGTCGCTTTTTGTTTGGTTCCCCACAATTGCCAACTTCTCGATATAAAGTATCAGAGCATAATATTATCATATCGGATTAGCTTATCGATCGATTGATTGAAAACTATATTGGGTTTGTGCAGCTTGCAGTTTAAAGTGTTTCAATTGATTTGTTTCTCTTAGTTATTGTTTCTTTTTTTAAATAAGGCTTTTGCTTGTTGTTTTATTTAAATTTTCGCTAAAAACTACAATTTAAAATTAATAATCAGTATTTATTATTAATTAGATTAGAACGTAATAATAAAAAAAACATCTCACACACACGCGCACACACACTCACATACTCACAACTATTTACAGTTTAATCTTTGCCATTTACAACTCCAAATAGTTCTAAAATTACAATTTTTACTTTGCTTGCTGAATATATTGGAATAAATATGTGTTTCGCTTTGTAAGTGTATAATAATTTTTTTTTATTTTTTAATAGTTTGTCGTGTTGTTTTGTTTTTTAATTTAATGCCGAATTTTTCAAAAATCTGCACACAGTAGCAGCTGCGCTCGATGTGATTGATTTTGGGGTTCTTTTATTTAAAAACGTGTTTAGTGGCATAAAAATTGATTTGATATTTTTTAAAAGTTTTTTATATATGCAAAGTGAAGCACTTTGAGTCATATTTGTCAACTGCAACTGGAATGCGCAATCACATGGAGCGGCTGCTAAACAGAAATATGATTGTGTGCACGTTTGTTCGACTTGTCTGTACAACATCTGTTTTGGACTATTTCGAAAAGGTTGAAAAAAATTAATATGAAATAATAAACTTGAAGTGATTTGTTGCAACTTTTCAATTTTTTATGGAGTTTCGATACGGGTTTTTGTTTTTGGCTTACATTCTAAAAATACAAACATTTCCATTCTCCAAAAATTTCTTGTTTTTAAATTTAATTTTCAGTTTAGGTTCTAGTTATATGTTGCTGTTTGCTTTAATATATGCACTTAGTTGCGGCCACGCCCCCAAAATGTTGGTAGCCGACTTTCGATTTTCGCTAAGAACTACAATTAATGACTACGAGCTACAACTGTTAAGTGTTTCGCTTTTCATTTCTCATCTTTTTTTTCGATTTTTAACAAATTTTCTATTTTGTTTTTTTTTGTTTATTTTATGCATTTTCTCATTTGTTGTTTTTTTTTGTCATTTTTAAATAGTTATTAATAAATAATTAAAATATATATATAATAATATATATTTATTTATATATATTTTAGTTGTTTTTTTTTTATGAGTAGGTATTTTTATGGAAGTGGGTTAACTAGCATAACGCATGCTGATCCGTATGCGCTACATAAACCGAGCATTTTATTTCTTTTATTTCTTTTTTTAACTTTCTCTGATATTTAGGCTAAACATAATTGCGAATTTTTACTTCGTGTTTAACTTTTAATACAGTATTTGTTTTTTACATAGGCTAGACTACGGATCTATACATAAAATTCGCTTTAATTAAAAATGTACAATCATTATTTAGTATTTGTTTATGTACGTGGTTGTATTATTCATATATATATATAAATATATATATGCATGCCTATATAGTTTTAATATCTTGCGTGTGCACAACAAAATTGGGGCAGGACTTACGAACTAACTGTACAAAATAGGGCTTTACAAAAGTGTTTCGGATAAGGGGATAAATGATTTACAGATGGGTTTACAAAAGAACATATATGAAAGTGGATATATAGATGCGGGCTTTTGTTTGCTTTTATAGGACACTTTGTTGCTGCTGGAAGTAAACGATCGCTGAATCGTTTCTCTATATATTATCGGATCTATATATATATATATATATATATATATATATATATGTATATATATATGTATATATATATATAGCTTGGTCGAACGCTGGCTTTATGATTATCATCTAACCTCACAGTCTTTTTTCAGTGGAAGTAAACCGCCCGTGCGGGTGCCGTTGTTGTTGTTGCCGTTGTTATTATTGTTGTTGTTGTTATTATTATTGTTGTTATTGTTGTTGTTGTTCGAATTGCTGTTGCAGGAATTGCTGGATGCGGAACCGGAACCACTGGCCGACGGCAACGAATTGTTGCTATTATCATAGTTGCCCACATTAACGCACAGCGGCGAATTGGGACCAACACCGACGCCAACAACATCAGCAACACCCACGACGCCACTAACACCACTCACGACTGAGGCAACCGTTGCACCGCTGCTCTCTGGCAACGAGGTGGAGTCATGCACATCCGCACTCTTGCTGCTGTCGATGACCAGGCAGGGCGGCGAGGGTGTGCTCGTATCCTTGCCCAGGAGCGCAGGCGAAGCATTGGCGTTCTGGGAGTGAGGCGTGAAGCTGCTGTTGTTGTTGGTGAGCGATGGCGATGCACCGACCAGTGGCAACAGCGACAATTCAGCAGGTGCAGCCGGTGAAACGGATGACGCTGGCGTTGGCTCCTTGTTGTCCGTCTTGGCACCGATGACGTAGGCGCCTCCAGCTGAAATACGCGCGATCTTCAAGCGCAGTGGAGCCTCCATTTGCTGCTGCTGTTGCTGTTGATGCTGCAGCTCTTGTTGCTGCTGCTGCTCGAAGTTAATTTTTGTGGTCGTCGTTGTCTCCGCCTTGCGCTTGTTGATTCTCAATATAAGCTTTGGCTTCTCGCCAGGCGAATCGCTGACCGTGTTCTCAATCAGCGTGGTTGTCATGGTGGTCAAGGTGGTGGTGGTGCTGTTGTTGTTGCTGAACTGTAGCAACTGTTGCTGTTGCTTAAGGCGCTTCTTCTCCTTTTTGTCCTTCTTCGGTTTGTCCTTTTTGTCCTTCTTTGGCTTGACCAGCAGTGTTTCGTTGTCGCCCGCCAGCTCACGCTTGTTGTTATCCTCGCCCTTGTCAAAGTCCTGCATTACCTTCTTGCGATAGTTCATCGAATCACGCTTGATCTCCTCCAGCGTTGGAGTGCTGTAATTGCTGGTGAGCCGCTTCTTGGGCGGACAGGCGCGTCGCGTCATCTCGTAGCTGTAGCTGCTGCTGCTGCCATCCAAGCCACTGACTGATAATCCAGCATTCGTCTCGTTTGTGGCTGGCAGCCCGCGTATCTTGATCTTCAACTTGGGTCCCTGATGGTCATCCTCGCTGCTTTCCAGTGTCTTGCTACGTCCGCGTCGCTTGCCCGCACTGCTTGCCGCTCCAGTTTTGCCATTGTCGGCGCTGCCCGAACTGCAGGCGCTACGTCGACGACCATCCGGAGGTTGAGCACCGGCTGGACCACCCGCTGGCAACAGCTGCTCATCAAGGCAGGCATTCGCGTCTAGCGCACGCAGCTCCCTGTTGCTTGCGGTCTTCTTGAATCGTTTCGTATTGCCGCCACTGGCCGTTGGCTGCTGCTGTTGCTGCTGCTGCTGCTCGTCATCCAGTTCGCTGGCATCCGATTTGCGCATGTTCTCCAGCGGCTGGCTGTCCGAAGCAGCCGGCAAACCACACGAGCTATCGTCATTTAGCGTATCCTTTTGCACCACATACAGACTGAGCAACTCTTTCTTGCGCATCCGCCGCGAGTTTCCGCTCACACTCAGCGTGCACGCCGCCGAGGTGCTGGCCACAGTGGCACCACTCAGCTGCGCTGTCACGGTGGTTTGCACCACATTCGCTTGCACCAAGCTGCCACTACTTGAGAGGCAGCTGCTGTTCGTTACGCTGCTGTAGTGCAGATCCGGATAGGCGAGTGGTTCTTTGATTTTAAGTTTGAGTTGATTCAGCGAAGCCTTGGTGGTTAGCGTGGTGGTGTCCGAATCGATGGATATCTCTTCAGAGGTGGCTTCCAGCGAGGCTTCTAGCGCAGGCACCACTAGCTCGGAAACGAGCGTGTTAACGGGAGCTGCTTGATTTGCTTCGCTCGATTGCAACGCGCTGCTTAGCAGGCTGCTAGGCACTGCTCCACTTGCTCCGCTGGGTGGTTTGTTAGGTGACGCGTTATTGCTGCTATTATTGTTATTAGTGGTGCTGCTGCTGGTGGTTCCTGTGGCTCGCAAGGCCGATTGAAACTGTCGTTCATCTTCCTCATCGAACTCGCTGAGCGTCTGATCCGCTGTGCCAGAATCGAAGGCACCCAGAAGATTGTTTTGGTACGCTTCCTGGGAGGCGGTGCTGTGTGGTGCCTCGAATCCAAGATTATAGGTGCGCATGTCCACTGGACCAGGCAACACGGGCTGAACTATGGCATGCAGCAAGGGATTATTCGCCTTATTCTGCCCTCGCAGCTTGCAGCTAGCATAGCTAGTGGTGTTGCTTGGGGCCGCTGCACCACCGGCTGCTCCTGCATTTCGGTCGAAACTGCGTCGACGATTGCGCAACGATTCCAAATTCTCCACACCGGGACCGCTCAACTCGTCGTCGTAGTTGTTGAACTCGTAGGGCGTGCCCACCAGATTGCTCACAATGTGCGTATTCCGTCCATAGTCCGACATGGCCGGGGGCAGTGGGAGAACAGTGTTAGATGCATTGCCTCCTCGGCCACGGCCACGACCGCGTCCACGGCCACGCGTGCCTGTTTGGGCGCCACTGCCACGCGGCGCTCGCTGACGCAGCTTCCCTGTCAGCGTGTGCGTTAGCGGATCGTATTTCGATACTGTCGGCGTGGGCGTGACTGTGGGTGTAGTTATGGGTGTCGGCGGGGTGGGCGGTGGATGCAGCACAACAGGTTGTCTGGGCGATTTGCCAGGGGATTTGCCTTGCGGCAGCTGCGGCGATTTGTGCTGCATTTGCTGCTGTTGCTTCTGATGTTGCTGTTGCTTGGAAGAATTGTTGCTACTTCGCTTGGTGGGCGAGATGCTCTCCTTATTGGGAAGGGGCAGAGAAACAGGCACAGCTATGGGCACTGGCACAGGTACGGTTACGGGCACAGGTACAGGCACAGCCACGGGCACAGTCACGGGCAGAGGCACCTGAACTGGCTGCACCTGATCCACTGACTGCTGCTGCTGCATCATCGTTGGCAACTGCTCCGCACAGCTGCTCAGCAGCGGATAAGGCGTTAGATTTCCATCCACTGGATACTGATGATTGGGCGTTGTGGTAAGCGTCAGATTGGGCGTGGCATAGGGCGTGCTCACATATGGCGTATTAGGCTGCGAGCTGTTGCCAAACAAGGTCTGAGAGTTCGGCTCAGCAAGCGTTGCCTGCACCACCTGCTGCTGCTGCTGCGGAATGATGGCCGAAAACTGTGGATAGATGCCACCATTATATTGGCTATTGGGCGTGCGTTGCGGGTGAGTGGGCGTGGTCTGCTGCTGCTGCGTTGCACTGTTGTACATGGACATGGCATCGATGCCATTGACGAGTGGTGTATGACTGCCGAAAGCGCTGCCTGCACTGCCCGCTGATACTGCGCTGTTGTTATTGCTAGCTGGAGCACCTTGATTAACTGCTGGTCCGGCTCCCGCTGGCGCACTCACCGCCGCCGCTGCATAGCTATTGAAGTAGCTCTTGTCCAGCTGCTGGGCCACCTGACTCGGCGGTTGATCATTCGACTCGGATACAGAACTGGGCGAACTGCTGCGCCGGGCTGCAATTAAATCGTTCTCATTCCAACGCTGCATCCTTCCAAACGGCGATTGCATTCGTGTGTTTTCATCATAATCGCTCAGCTTGTTGTTCGATTGGGAGTTGGATGAATTGATGGCTGCATTAGCCTGGGCAGGCAGCGACGAAGCACCTCCCGCAGCGCCCGCTGCATATCCGCTGTTCTTCACAGCTGCTGCTGCCAGATCCACAAAGTCGGGCGTGGGCGGTGGTGCAGCCACTGAGACTGATGTGGTTGGAGTTGCAGTTGGAGTTGTGGCCAACTGGTTGCCATTGCTTGGCTTATGCGGCAGTTGGGGCGAAGATTTGTTCAGGTAACAACTATAGTTCACATTGCTGTAGCCCAAATTGTTGGCACTTGCATTTGTAGTAGGCGTGGCATTGGGCGTATTGGTCAAACTATTGGCATAGCTGCCTCCACTGTTTGCTGTTAGGGGCGAATCCTTGATGGTCAACTGACTGGCCACCGAATTGGGTGCTGAGCTGCCAAAGAGACAACTCTGCTGCTGCTGCTGCTGCTGCTGTTGTTGTTGCTGCTGCTGGAGTTCCTTTTGTGCATGTATCAAATCTTCAGGATCAGCTGCATTGTGAAAGGGAAAGACCGAGGGTATAGCTGGAGTGGGTGGCAGCAAATCCAGCGAGTCTTTGCAATCGTCCAGCAAAGGTTTGCGTTTCGTCTTGCGCAACTTCTCGACCAGATTACGCGTAGCCAGCGTGCTGTCCTCCTCAAAGATTTGCTTGCTTCCACTGCCACTGCCGCTGCTGTCGAACAGGCTCGTCATTGGGCCCGAGTTGGGCGGATTGAGAACATTGGCTACATTGGTGGCAAAATTATTGCCATATTTGCTATCTTCCATTTCCAGAATGGCATCCACAATGGGTTGATGCAGCTCCAAAACGGCACACGGCGTGGCAACAGCCTCCGGCAAAGGCAATTGCTGTTGTTGTTGTTGCTGCTGCTGCTGCTGGTGCTCACCTGAATTCGAGTTCGAATCCAGCTCAATTATCTCTGGCGGTTCGGGTGGTATGACTGTAACAGCAGGCGAGGATGTGGATGCGGAGTATTTGCTGGCATTCGCAAGCAACTCATTCTTGCGCTCTTCCTCCAGTTCACGCACCATTTGCATCTCATTGAGCAAATGCTGCGTGTGGTGCGTGTGCTGTTCCTCGTCGTCCTCGTCGCGTGTGCGCCGGCGTCTGCGACGGGAGCCCCAGCGATTGCTGCGGCGCCGTTCGCTCTGATCGCTGCCCGCCTCATCGGAGAGCTCATCATTTGAAGGCGTTGGTGTGGGCGAGGCGGGCAACGGAGCTGCCGGCGGTCGTTCATCGATGTCCGCCGCTGAGAGCTCCGCCAATTTGCTGGCATTGGCCGAGAGTTGAGTGTGTGTGGGCGCTGTGGTTAGTTCCTCATCAATGTCCATGGGCTGCTCACCGGACTCCTGCTGGGCAGTGGATGGCCGAAGGATTTCAGCTTCAGGACTGGGGACTCTCTGCTTGGCTGGAGGCGTCGGTGTTGTTGTAGGCGTTGCTGTGGGCGTGGGCGTGGCATTGTTAAGCTGCTGCTGCTTCTTATCGAGCAGCTTATCCAATGCACTTGTCGTTCGACCCGTTGCCGCCTTACGCTGCGCTATCTCATGCTCTAGATTTGGCGGCGTTTTCTTCGGTGATTCCGCTCTAGATTTGCGTCGGGAAACCGTTGGCTTTTCCGGACTAGCCTTCGCTTGGCTCACCACGACAGGTGAAGGAGGTCGCGATTTGGAGTTGCGCGTCGCACGTTTATTAATCTCCGGAGGTGTCTGTTTGGTAAGATCGTCTAACGAGGATTTGCGACGCTGCGTCGACTTGGGCGTGGCATGCGGTTCCGGCGCTTGCGACTTTTGCGGCGTTCTCTTTGGCGATTTATTTGTGGAATTCTGACGCGTTCGACTGGACAGAGGTGGAGCTACAGCTGGGGCTGGCTTGTCCAGCGATTTTCGCGGCGAACGCTTTGGCACAATTGAGCTAGAGGCGGAGGTGGATGCGGAGATGGATGCTGAGGTGGAAGTGGAGGTGGACGTGGATGCCGGAGTAGTAGTAGCTGCTACTGCTGCAACTGCTGCTGGCGGCTTGCGCTTCTCCTGAGCTGTTGCCTCACTATCGCTGTCTGAATCGCTACCGCTGCCACTGCTACTGCTGTCGCTGTTACTGCTGGAGGAGTTGCTGCTGCTGCTGTCGCTATAAGCCGAGCTGGAGCTGGACAGATTAGGCGATGCAATGCGTCGCTTGACGGGCGTTGGTGCCACTTCCTCCTTGGAACGCCGGCGTGTGGTCTCCTTCAATAGCGAGTTGCGGCGCACAGGCGTCGTCTGTTGCTGCTGTTTGGCTGCCTTCACGGGTGACGTGCTTGTTGCTGTTGTTGATGCTGCTGCTGCAGTAACTCCTGCTCCCGTCTCTTCATTTGCAGCACTTGTACTCGGCTCTTGGCTTGATTTGATCAAAGCTGCACCGCTGCTCTTTAGCTGTTCGGCAGCTTTCTTAGCTGCCTGTCGCTGTGGCACATACGAGACGGCAAAGTTGCCAAGCTTGGCTAGTTCATTGTTTTTGGGCGCTGGCTTTTCTTTCTCCTTTTCCTTTTCCTTGTCCTTTTCCTTTTCCTTGTCCTTCTCCTTTTCTTTTTCCTTCTCCTTTTCCTTCTCTTTTACTTTCTCCTTCTCCTTCTCCTTTTCTTTTTCCTTCTCCTTCTCCTTATCTTTCTCCTTTTCCTTTTCCTTCTCCTTCTCCTTCTCCTTTTCCTTTTCCTTTTGCTGCTTGGGAGGTCTGCCACGCTTGCCACGCTCAGCTGTCGTGTCGCCCGCCGTTTTGCCTGTTGTCTTTTGCAGTTCCTTCGGTCGCGCTTTATCCACGTCAAGCAGGCGATTCGCTGCTTCCTTCGATTTGCTCTTTGAGCTGCTGCTGCTGGTGGCATTGGCTGCACTTGCTCCAGTGTTGCTGCTGCTTGGCTCTGGCTCTCTCAATCGCTCGTTAGCATCGGGCAGCAGCGCAGTGGCGAGATTCGTGGAGATGCGCATATTTTCGCTTGCCTTTTTGGCTGCCTGCCTCTGAGGAACTACCAGCAGATCCACAGGCGGAAAGACGGGGGCATTTGCTTTCGATTTGTTGGCTTTTGATTTGTTTGCCGTTGTTATTGCAGTTGTTGTTGCTCCAGGTGTCGTTGCTGTTGTGCCTGGAACAAACTCCTTCATGGCTGCTTTGGTGCGTATCGTTTGCTGATTTTGTGAGTCGCTAACATTGCTTTCCGCTGCCGCCTGCTCCTCCTCTTCCAGCCGCTTCGGCGCTTGACGCTCCGGCGTTGTTGTTGTAGAGCTATCCGAATCGGAATAGATGTGCTGACCAGGCTTGCGCAGTGCTGTTATTGCCGTTGTCCCAGCCGAAGCTGGAGTGGAATTTGTATTTGCTGCGCTTGCATTGTGATTGCGCGCCTGTCGCTCGGCTAGCTTTACAGGCAGCAACTCCTCACTTTCATCGCTGGACAAACTGTTGGGGTCTTGCTGCCGCATTTCCTTGTCCATCTGGGCAAGGCCACGCGTCGTTGTAGACGCCGTAGATGATGCTGCTGCTGCTGCCCCATTACTGGACAATTTTCGTCGAGCTGTGCTCGTTGCAGTTGTGCTTTGCTTTGACTTAGTTGCTTGACTTTTGGCAGGTACTGTTGCTGTTGCAGTTGTTGACTTGTTGACACGTTTGACACGCTGCGTCCGTTCCTCGTTATCATCGCTGGAGGAGCTGCTGCTTCTACTCCTGCTTCTACTGCTACTGCTGCTACTGCAGCTGGTACGTGCATTCGCAGACGCTGCAGACGCACACGCAGCTGCCTCACTTTGACGCCGCTGTCGCTGTTTCTTGCGCTGCTCAACGCTGCGCGCATAGGTTTGTTTACGCACGGGTTTGACTGCTCCGGCTGTAGCTGTTCCTCCTGGTTGTGCTTTACTGCGATAGCTGCGGTTTTCACTGCCTGAATCGGTGGCGCTGCTCGAGTCGGAGCTGCTGTTGCTACTGCTTGCGCTGCTGCTACTACTGCCGTGCGCCGAGCTGGAATCAGCCGATGATGAGCTGCCGCTAGACGTAGGGGCGGACGTGCCGCCAATTGCATTAGATGATTTAGACAATTTATGTTGTTGTTGATGGCTCGACGTCGCCGTCGTTGCCTGGCCGCTCTTCGAGGCACGCCTCCCCGCACACGGCATCGCCGTAGACGCCGTTGTCGGCGCCCTTGGCGAGCCACGTGGCTTGGCGGCCTTATTAGCCATTGCTCCAGTTACAGTTGCAGTTGTTGATGTTGTGTTTACATTTGTTGTTGTAGTTATTGCACCATTGTTGAGTTTCTTTTTGGGCGAACTCTTGATAGCCGCCGCCTGCTGCTTGCGCTTGTTGGGCGATTGAGAGGCGCGTCCACGTGCCTGCTTTTTACCCTTTAGCTGCTCTAATATGTATTCCAAGCTCTGATACTGTGCCGGCACAGTTAGCTGATCCGAGCTATAGAACCGATCATAAAGAGTGGGTCCATCGTTTGCATAGAGTATGGCATCCGTGTCCAAAGCAGGCTGCTCCTTGATGTCCGTTGTTCCCTGCTGCTGCGGCTGCACAACTGCATCATCAAGCACAGCGAGCTGCTTGTAGAATACCTGCTCACGCAGCTTGAACAGCGAGCGCGACAGCTTCTCACGTCGACTGACCATATAGCAAAGGTTACGCACACGCTCCAAGTCCTGACGTAAGTGCACAACCAATTTATGATTCTCGAGATCCTGTTGCTCTTGCTTGCGTGCGAGCATCTCCACATCCTCCGATTTAGGCGGAATTAACTCACGATTATGTCGCGATTTGCGCTTCAGTTTCCAATAATTATAAATGGCCTCAATGGCATCCTCATCCACATCGTACAAATGATAGCTTATATCATTAATATTCACATGCTTATCAAACTCCGCTTCGACCTCCTAAAAATTAAAAAATAAATAATATATATATCATCTAATACCGCATAAACTTGTTGTATGTAAGTCACCTGTAATCTTTGCGCACGCGCCTGGTTGCGCTCTTCTGAGGTCATGTCGTTCTTGCGATGATGATTTTTACGTCTCCGATGATCTTCGCCTTTGGCACCCGCTGTATGCCCCTCCTCGTTAGCATGTCCAGTGCTCGAAGAGAATTTGTTGTTGTGCTTTTGCATGCAACTGGATGCTGATGTATGCGATGTATGTGCACCCTCCTTTTTGCCCTTGCTCATGCTATGTTTCTGACAATAGGATCGCAGTTTCACACCATCCTCGGCATTTCCCTCCTCGATAATGGCGCGCATCTCGAGTCCATGCTGAAACGCACAGGTGACATGGTAAGCCGTCTTGCACGTCTTCACAGAGCACTGGATACAGCTTCCCACACGCTCACGACAAAGTACACAAATCAATGCCCAACGACTTTGAGGAATGCTTGAGATTTTTGTTATCGGTTCCATTCGATCAACACAGCCAATGCTAACTTCTGGTATCCATAAGGCGCACGAGACATGCGCCCAATGTTTGCCCGATTTATTAGATTTCATGGCGCCTCCCTTATTGGGACAGAGCACACACTCTGGCTTAATGCCCATCGAGCAAGTGCGACAAAGCCATTGGCCTAGAAAGCAATTATAAATGTTGTTTAATATAAGCTCCAGGGAATGTTTCTCTCCGTTTTACCTGATGGAATCGCTGTAATGCCGTAACAAGCCTGATGCACACAGATGTTGCAATTATCACAGAATACCATTTCGTTGGCCTCCTCGGAGTCTGGCGAGCGACAAACATCACATATAACATTTTCATCGAACTCAATGCCCAGACCCTCCTCTTTCTTAAGTATGACCTGGATTTGCTCCCAGCAGCGAACCTAATTATTTAAAAATAAAATCAGGTATTAATAAAGATTCTTAGATCTAAAATATAACAATATATATACCTCTAGATCTTCGATGACCCGCTCGAACTGAGTTTCGTTAATGGGAAATGCGCCACATTGTGCACGGTCGCCATTATATAAACGCAGCCAAGCCTCATCGATGGGATCAATGTCATAGGCACATGTGTTCTCCGCCAGTGCAACAACATTCGTCAGACAATGCAAATCTGGCGAGTAATGTTCATCTTTGGTGATGCGCAGGAAACGATTTTTTGGACTGCAATTAGAAAAAATAAATAAATCCAACTCTCTACCACCAGTACCACTATCTATGTATCTAAATTTCTTCAGATTTATCAATTTCTTACAGCTTAAAGTCATGCGCTGGCGATACAATTGGCTCGGACAGCACATAGACACACGGCTCGGGCAGCGAATCGGGATTAACGGGCACCTGTACGCCTTTTTCCCATTCCTGTTTCCATTGATCGGTTACAATCAGATACTCGTAGTTGGCCAATGGCTCTGAGTCAGGCAATTTCATTGCGCTTATGAGATCCTTGCTGTAATGGGGCGTATTAGAAATAAATTTGATAGATAAACGTTGATTTCTAGATTATTTACCGATACAGTTCAGCTGGCGCTTCGGTTGAGCTTCGGTTGTAGATGCTCGACATTTTAATATCGGCCACGGAGCGCGCTTGCCAGGTGTTGCTGCTGTTGTTATTGTTGTTGCTGTTGTTGTTGCTGCTGTTGTTGCTATTGCTATTATTGTTGTTACTGTTGCTTTGCGCTTTACTTTTGCTGGCCGATTTGGCCTTGCTCGGCAGCTTCGATATTGACTGTTGCTCGCTAACAGCAACTGTTGCTGCTGTTGTAGCTGCAACTGTTGTCGTTGATGTTGTTGCTGTTGCTGATGCTGTTGCTGTCGCCGGCGCTCCATTGGGCGGTCGTCCTTTTCGTCGCTTTGTGGGCGGCGGCTGCGGCTCAACATCTTGTCGCTGCTGCTGTTGCGGCGGCTGCTGCTGCAGCTGTTGCTGCTGCTGCTGCTGCTGATTACCGCGCTTACCTCTTTGTGACATTTTTCATTTGTGTGTTGTTTCTCTTTGTTTGTGTGGGTGTGTGTATATATTTGATTGGTTTTGCCTTGTGGAACCTCCTGCGCTGAGGGGTTCGACTTGTGCTACTTAGACCGCCCGCTTTTTCTGCTCAACTGCGACCTGTAGATGGGATTCACGGAGGTGCAGGAAAGGCAGTTATTAATTAAGTGATGCAATTTATTGTTAGCATTTCTTACTACATGCTTAAGGCCACAATTGGCGACACCACAGCCACACCGCCGGCTGTTGTTGTTGCTGCTGCGAGCTCCGCTGCTGTTTGTTGTTGTCGTGAATTGAATTATTGTTATTGTTGTTGTTATAGTTCTTGTTGTTGTTGTTGTTGTGCTGCTGCTGCTGCCGCCCGTTTAACATGGACGCCGCTGCCGCTGCACCAGCACTAATCCCGAGTAGCGCCGCCACTTTGCAGTCTGTGCAATGCACTGCTCTAAGCAATAGATGCGCGCTACCGCTCCCCCTCCTTCGTTTTCTGTTTGTTCGTCCGTTCGCTTCACTATTTTTGTTTTTGCACGCACTTTGTGTCTGTGTGTGTATGTGTGTGCTATAGCTTACAGTTTTGTTTTGTTCACTGCCCGCCTAAACAAAAAAAACGCAATTAATTAATATTTGCGAATAACCAATTTTCGATTTGCAAACTTTTTTCGTTGTACATTTTCTATGCGCTTTTCGTCACAAAAAATACACAAAAAGAGAAGAAAAAACCTGAAACTGACAGTAAAAAGGAAAATATCAAAACGCGTGCGGCATAACAAAAGCTGGCTGCTGTGTAACGCACACAACATTAAATGCCATCCCAAAAAATCCATCTATCTCGCACGCTCGTTTTAAGGGCGCGCGCATTCGCGGCATAGGTGTGAGCGAGATGGAGTTGGCTGTGCGTGCTGCAGCCGTCAGCTTTTGTGCAAACGTCTCTTCCGCTCCTCAGCTCACTGCTTCCCCCCTCTTTCAATCACATTCGATTCGACGTTTTTGCACCTATTTTTTTTCTTACTTTTTATTGTAGTAATATTATTTGTTTTTGCAAATTGCACATTTTAAGAATGTATGTGAAATTATGCCCGTGCCCGCTAGTTGGCATTGTCGCCACATTTGTTGCTTTGTTTGCTGCCTGTTTTGGTTGTCGCGTTCGAGCGAATTTTGATTGGGATATATTACTCTGGGCTTTGCTTTTGCCGCCGCAGACACACACGCGAGCACTTTGGAGTAGTTGAAATAGATCTAGCAAACAAATTACACATTACGTTTATTATGCACTCGCGTTTCGCGTAATTGGCATAATGTTTGCGACAAATATGCAATTTTTTTACGGATTATTTACAAGATTTTCTTCACGGTTTCCTTTTCTACGTCTGCCATTTTCTTTTCGGCTTATCGATTATTAGAGCTGTACCGGAATCGATTATCGATAGCGGCTCTCTAGCTTATATTCGTTCTTTCACTTATCGAAACTAGTTTCAACCCTTGGCTCGCGGAACCGATACTGCGTACAAAAAATAGCTCAATTGTATACATTACTTATTTTTATTTAAAGTAGAGCAAGTCTACGCATAAAAAGCCTAAAATTTTAATTTATTTTTGGTTTCGAAGTTGTTCTTAATTAATGTTGTTATAAATTAACTTTCGATGGTCGCACCGATGTCATTGGCAATTGGTTATCGAATAACTGTCAACCACCAAAAAAAAAACAGCAAACGAAGAGAATATACAGAAGCGCAAAAACAGTTCGCACAAATTTTTTTACATCATAAAATAATGTAAGGAGATGCTTGCTGGCACATAGTTATTGCGACTTACAGATTAAAACAAACGATAAGCACTTTAGTGAAACCGTCCACACCCAGCTGCGCCCGTGCAAATGCATTTCTTTGTCTGCACTTTGCTGGAATAAACTTCTCGAACAAACGTTTTTTTTTTGTTCGATCAAGTGCAAATAAAAATTCCTGAAAAATGTCAACAACTCCAAATTCCAATAGTAGTGGTAGTAATAGCAACAACAACAACAATAATAAGCAAAAACAACAACAACAACAGGATACATACAGTGACAGCAGCAGCATCGAAGAGAATTTAGAGGCTGCCGAGGAGCGTCGTAGGCGTATCCTAAAGAATCGCAGTCGCAGCAGTACCTACATGCAGAGACAACAGCACACTACTATGAGCGTGGCCAGTGGTGCCATTTCCAAGCATGATAAGTCCATGACACCAACGACAAGCAGTGCAGCCGCCGCCGCCGCTGCGGCGGCAGCTGCTGCAGTGCGTCTTGGTCCACCGGAGCGCATTTCAATGCTAGTGGATGGCGTACGCTTCACTGTAGAGCAAACCCTGCTCACCGCGCATCCAAATACCATGTTAGGTACGATGTTTGGCACTGGATTTCAATTTGTACATCCCAATGAGCGAGGTGAATATGAATTAGCCGATGGTATATCTCACTTGGTATTCCGTTCGATACTGGAGTATTACAAAAGTGGAGTTATTCGCTGCCCGCCCACGGTATCTGTACCCGAACTGAAGGAGGCATGCGATTATCTGCTAATACCCTTCGATGCGACCACTGTGCGCTGCCAGAACCTAAGTGAGTATGTTGTTGCTGTTGCAGCTGGGCGTCTCTTAGTCAAGTGCCGTCCCCGTCTCTTGCTTTTCTCGTTTGTTTTTACTTTATCTCTCTGTGCTACGCCAAAAAGGAGGCCTGCTTCATGAGCTGAGCAACGAGGGAGCCCGCCAGCAGTTTGAAGTCTTTCTCGAGGATTTGATATTACCTTTAATGGTGGCTTCAGCACAGCGCGGCGATCGTGAATGCCATGTCGTAGTACTGCTCGATGACGACATGGTCGACTGGGACGAAGAGTTCCCCCCGCAAATGGGCGAGGAGTATTGCCAGAGTAGGTCAAGAATATCTTACAATTATAAATATAACTTCAATCTCATTACCCTCTTACCTTGTGCAGCTGTGCACAGCACTGCCATGCATCGTTTCTTCAAATACATCGAGAATCGTGATGTGGCCAAGCAGGTGATGAAAGACCGTGGATTAAAGAAGATACGGTGCGGCATTGAGGGCTATCCCACACACAAGGAAAAGATACGTCGACGTCCTGGCGGAAGAGCTGAGGTCATATATAGTTACGTTCAGCGTCCATTCATACACATGTCCTGGGAGAAGGAGGAAGCTAAAAGTCGCCATGTCGATTTCCAGTGTGTCAAGTCCAAGTCTGTTACGAATCTCGCTGAGGCAAATGCTGATCCGCCACTAGAACTAGATGCAAGTGAGTACAACTTGTCTTTTTTTCTCTTTGCCTGCCCTGTAACTATTTTGCTTTCATTCTAGGTGGAAATCCCATTCCATCGCCCGCCATAGCTGTTGTCAATGCGCATGTGGATCTAGTTGCACCTGCCGTTGGTCTAGTTGGCGTGGGCGTTGCTGCTGATGTTGTTGTTGCTGTGGATGAAGCCGCCGGCGGCGTCATGATAAATGAACTGGATCAAGCAGCCGCAGCGATGGCTCCACCCGGCATCGTTGATGAACATGTGTAGAGATCGACCCCAAGGGTTAGGGTTTATACACTGCCATCTTAGCTGCACGCACCCTCTCGAAGCCACGCTTTGTACGTTTTCAAACCGAACATTTTGTATACACTATCGAAATATAACGAACACATAAATTATAAAATGCCACTTACACATTTATGCCCTGCAGCTGCAGAAAAGGTAATTGAATTAGCCCCGTGTGGTCTTCCAATAGCCTCAATTTAAACAACAAAACAATATTTTATTGAATTAAATACAATTTGCCATGGTGATGCTTTGGGAACTGGAGGAGTTTAAGCTCCATCAAAGGATTCGCGTTCGCCTTGAGCAAGCGAGGATGTCTCCCAATTCAGCGATCTCTCAATGGCCATCTTCCACTTCTGGTACCGCAAATTGCGCTCTGTGGAATTGATCTTCGGCTTTACGGACTCGCGCTCGTCCGATTTTGACAACGGGCCTTCCATATTATACTGTGGAGCAATCGTTTTATAGGCAGCCATTGCAGCGCCCTGAAAGAGAGAAAAGTAAGCAAAACCGACCAGAATTAGGTCACAGATGGTGGACCTACCAACGCTGTGGTCTCTGCAATCTTGGCACGGAGTACATGAATGCCAACCAGATCTGATTGCAGTTGAAGGAACAGATTGTTGACCGTCATGCCGCCATCGACCATCAGCTTGGTGAGTGGTATTTTGCAATCTTTGTGCATAGAGTCGAGTATGTCGCGCACCTGGAAGCAAACAGCCTCCAACGTAGCACGCACAATATGCTCACTGGTTGTCTCCTCACTCAAGCCACAAAGCACGCCCCTTGCATCCTGGTTCCAATAAGGTGCATACAAACCATTAAAAGCGGGCACAAAGTAAACATCCAACGAGTTGTCCACCATACTGGCCATCGTTTCGATCTGGCCCGTATTCTGTATGAGGCCAATATTATCTCTCAGCCAATTGAAGGCGGCCCCGGCAATGGAAACACTACCTTCTAGTGCATAATAGGGTGGGGCCTTGCGACCTAGCTGATAGCCCACCGTAGTGAGCAATCCATGCTGGGAATGGACTATTGATGGACCAGTATTATATAGCAAAAAGCAACCGGTGCCATAGGTGGCTTTCGCTTGACCCTTGGACAGGCATTGTTGACCCACCAGCGCTGCCTGCTGATCACCCAAATCGGCTGTGATGTTAATGCCCTTTAACACACCCGCAGCAATAGTGCCAAAATGCTCGGCGCTGGAGCAGATCTCGGGTAGAATACTGCTCGGCAGTCCGAAGAATTTCAGCAAATTAGCATCCCATTGCAGCGTCTCGATGTTCATTAGCATAGTGCGCGAGGCATTTGTCACATCAGTCTTATGGATACCTCCATTCACGCCGCCTGTTAGATTGTACATCAGCCAGGTATCAATTGTGCCAAACATGGCATCACCTGCATCCATCGCCCGCTTCACTGTTGCCACATTATCCTTGAGCCAGCGCAACTTAACTCCGGAGAAGTAAGGCGAAAGCGGCAGGCCACACAATGGTCGCAAATAATTAATGTTGCGTGCGTTATTCGGTATTGTCTCCAGTAAATCCTCCACAGTACTGGTGGTGCGATTGTCCAACCAAATAATGGCATTGGCCAAGGCCTCGCCCGTATTCCTATCCCAAATCAATGTAGATTCTCGTTGGTTGGTGATACCAATTGCCAAAATATCCTAAAATAATTTAAAATTAAAGGAAATATTACATAATTATTAGAATCGCAAGTTTTAATAAATGTATATATAATGTATTTTTTGAATACATGCATTTGGCGCGCAACCAAAAATTCCCATTTTTGCGTAGTATGGCAGCACTGACTGAGCAAAAAAAAGGAAATGGCAATACTTTAAAAACAATAAACAAAAAGTAGAGACAAAAAACGGCTTGCCATTTGGTTCGATATGGCAGCACTAGACGAACAGTAAACAGAAAAATGAAGACAAAAATACAGCTGATAAGAAACACACATACAAAAAGCTAAATCTAACTGCGTAACATTTGTTAAGTCTTAATCAACTTTTCGTTTGTTCATCTCGATGTCAAACACAGTCAAAATTCTCAGTCGAACAGTCGCCCAGATCATCAAAACCAGCAGCAAGAGCAGAAACAAACAGCAGCTGCGCATGATGTCAGCCCTACCGAGTGGCGGTCTAGCAATTGGAGGCCCCAACATTGTGGCCGTTGGGCAGATGTGCTCTACGAACGATAAAGCCGCCAATTTACAGCAAGTGGAGGAACTTGTATTGCTCGCTGCTAACAGAAGAGCTAAAATGCTTTTCCTGCCGGAATGCTGCGATTTTGTTGGTGAGAATCGCACCGAAACGTTTCAGCTGGTCGAACCGCTGGACGGCCCGCTGATGGCAAAATACAAGGAGCTGGCCAAATGCCATCAGATGTGGCTATCTTTGGGCGGCATACACGAGTTAAAGACACCAACATCATCATCAGATGATAAAACGGAACAAAGGATATATAATACGCACGTAGTGCTTAACAATCTGGGTGAAGTGGCGGCCATTTATCGCAAGTTGCATCTCTTCGACGCGACTACGAAAGAGATACGTCTGCGCGAGTCGGATACCGTGGCACCGGGTGAGCGTTTAGAGAAGCCAGTGGCTACGCCGGCCGGCCAGGTGGGCCTGCAGATTTGCTACGATCTGCGCTTTGCAGAGCCCGCACTGCTGCTCCGAAAACTAGGCGCCCAATTGCTTACCTATCCAGCTGCCTTTACCTATGCGACGGGCAAAGCCCATTGGGAGATTCTACTCCGTGCTCGTGCCATTGAAACGCAGTGCTTTGTTGTCGCTGCAGCACAGCAGGGCTGGCATAATAAGAAACGCCAGAGCTGGGGTCACGGCATGATCATCAGTCCATGGGGCACCATTCTCGCGGATTGTGGCGGCGACGAAAAGCTAGCCGTGGGCACAGCCGAGGTGGATTTGTCGCAACTGGCCAAGATATATCAAAGCATGCCTTGCTTTGAGCATAGACGCAATGACATATACAGTTTGACGGGCTACAATTTGAGTGCACAGGAATGTGGACAGGATCGTGCCTTTGCTCACAACACCGTAGATAAGCGAACCATATTCTACGAATCCGAGCACTGTTGGGCCTTCACCAATTTACGCTGCGTCGTCAAGGGTCATGTGCTGGTCTCTACGAAACGGATTACGCCACGTCTTAATGGACTCAACTGTGCGGAGGTGACGGATTTATTTGCCACTGTTTGCATGGTGCAGCGGATGCTGGAGTCAATTTATGGCACCACTTCGGCCACTGTCACCGTGCAAGATGGCGAAAATGCCGGTCAGACAGTGCCTCACGTTCACTTCCATGTTATGCCTCGTCGCAATGGCGACTTTGGCCATAACGATCAAATCTATGTGAAACTGGACGATCGAGCTGAGAATTTGCCACCACGCACGCTTCAGGAGCGTATTGACGAAGCAAAAATCTATCGTGATTTTCTGCGTTGCATTAAATGAGCTCCCTAATCCTTTTCTTATACGTGTCCTTGTGCTTGTCAATAAAAGACCGTTTTTATAAGGTGCACCACCTAGCTTAAACACAAGTCTAATAATACCTCTGCTCACAGACTTACAGCTTATACAGTTTTAGTTCCTTCCATGATTATCATAAAATACTGCTCACCTTGACCTTGCCACCTAGCGCAATGAGCTTTTGACATGCACCCTCAATGCACTCGTTGACAGTGTTGGTAATAACCAGCGGATCCTGTTCACACCAGCCTTCCTTCACAAAAATAGAAGGAACCTCGATTTGATGATAGCAAACAATATCATCGGTGCCAGCACGAAAGATCATAAACCGTGCCGACGTGGTGCCCTCATCAATGGCGCCAATAAAGGGACCAATCATGTTTACATCCGATGACTCGCTGCCGGTATCCATTTCCCCAAGCTTTTCTTTTCTGTTTGGGTTACGTATGCACAGACACTAAATAAACACGCAAAATTTGTTAATGAGTTTCACTCTGTGTTGGCTTTACAACTGCTGTTCGATTGTTGCTGACATTTTTGTCGAACACAATTCCGATAAGAGATAAGGTCCAGCCCCTCAGTTGTTAGCAAAGCTATTTGTACTATGTACCCGATAGCTATAAAACCCGTTTTGCAAAACGTAAATATTTATTGCGAATCACAGTGTGAAAGCGAAACAAGAAGAACGACGTTTATGCGGTGATGAATGCTTAACTAATATATATACAACCAAATACAAAATATTTTCAGTTATTATTTTGATAAAATAATTTTATTAAAACCGTGCACTGTAAATATAAAACTAATTGGATTTGTTTAGTAAAATTGATTAACATATGCACATTTTACAGCACTATTAACCAGTGTGTCCACAAGTGTGTAAAAAAGTTATTCTGAGTCAAAATGATTACGGTCACACTTTAACCGCTGTTTTGCAGCTGGCTAATAAATGTTTGGAAATGTTTAATTCGCATTTTAATAATAGCAATTGCAAATTTAAAAGATGTCCATATCGGAACAACACCGCACTGGACTGCGCGATCTATTATTTAATGAAAGAAATATACCCGTGCTGCTGCAACTGGCGAGAAGTGTAACAAAAAATGTATGCAGCATCGACGAACCGGAAGGTAAAAATAAAAACAAAATATAGAGAATAACAAATATAAACAAATTACTTTCTTCTGCAGAGGCTCTTGGCTATCTTACAGCACATGTTGACGATATACACAAACTACTGCATAAGCGCCATATTACACGAGATTTGCTATTTAAATACCTGCACACTCGTTTACCTGGCACCTCGACAGATTTTACAAAAGTCGATTTGGTTATGAAAGTGATTCAGTATTGGGATACAAATTTAAATAAGGAAATTATAGAAGCCCCCAACTCCACTATTTCGGTGGCACCTCCAATGCAGATACCTAGCGAACAGGACTATCCAATACATTTGATGGCACGTAAATTTGGCGAATGGTTCTTCGACAAGTATAATTCTGATAATCTGATTCAGTCCGATCTCTGGAGCGATGCAGCTCTGGAGTTGAAAGTCATTGCGGCCGATGGGGTTAGCGAACTGGAATGCTGCAGTGCAGAGGAGGTGCTCTGTTCACTAGTCAAAGCCAAACAAACATTTGGCTTCTACTTTAATCCCAATTTATCGCATTCTGGTGTACAGGGACGAGTCGATCCCTATGGCCAGGTTGTCGTGCTCTGCTGTGGTACTCTGCACGCCGCCGAACGTTCAGTGGGCGTATTTGAATGCGCATTTGGGCTATTGCGTGATCCGCACGCGGACAACAATTGGAAACCCAAGAAATTCAAGTGTTTGCTGCGCAGTGAACTGAGTCCGCCTCGATTACACACCTTGAATGAGAGCCAGACGCTACAAATGGCTTTGACTTTGCCCACGCCCACTGATACACTAGACTAGGAAGATTAACAGGAGCACCTGGACTATTAAGAAACTAACTTTAAGGCTGACTAATTGTTTTCTATTAATTTGTTACTATTCTTCTAGACTGTGAAATGCAAAACAACTTTTCGGATCATTTCTAATTTCAATACTTATAAGCTGTCTAAATTATGTAAAAGATATCCAAACTTTAAAGTGAAGAGTGAATCTTTATATATATCACTTGTAGAAGACTCAATACACCTCTGTGTAGATCATATTTTAGAACAGAAGATTTTCCCATTATGCATAAGATTCAGAAATTCACGCCTTTTTACTTGTATTAAAGAAATATGTAAACTAATAGTTTAGTCAAAAATACTAAATGTATATAAAAATAGAGAACTTGTTGAGCTCTAATTGAAAAGCTCTCTCAACTTTAAACAATTCTAAATATTTTATTGATTAATACCTGAAACCTCTGTTAATCCTCAAAATCGAGACGACTTGCTCCAGAATCGATCTTTCTCAAAGTCTATCTAAACTATGGGATTTGGTTAAGTATGATATACTGGGAAGACCTGGTGAAATTCCAAAGCTATAGATTATATATTACTATCTGACGATAGAATATCTGTAGCTTCAAGAGCAATGCTGAGCTACCATACGCATAGAGAAACGATTACAAAGACGGACATACGGCATTCCATTTGCTTGATTTGCTTAAACCCCATTTGAATAGGTCGTCTTGTGCAATTTTCTTCTAACAAGCCCAAGCATCTCTCTCCATTGACATCCTATAGATCTACGATTGAACCGCCAACCGTCTTTACACAATCTTCAATCAAAAGTAAAAAATGCAATCCATAGTTTACTTTACCTGTGGCTTGTTCGCACGAGGAATCCTCACCTCCTGGTTTATCTATTATAATAGAAACAAAACACGAGAAAGAGAAAGAAATGTTTCTCAGTATGCAACGCGGTTTCAAAAGAAAACACAACTTACGCCCGGACGTGGAATTGTGTCAAAGTATCAAGACGCGCAGTTTCCACAATTTCGGCCGATTTAGCTGCAAAGTTCAAAGAAAACAAACAGCATTAAAACTGAGAGTTTAAAGTAAACCAAATCGGGGTTGGTGAAAATAATATAGAAAGTAGGCCCATTAAAATATTTTTTTTTAACTAATTGTGAGCCCAAAAATAAATTATTACCAGTTGTGCAGCCCGATTCCATTTCTTTATAGATCAGCAGAGGTCCACTGAAATGGTATTAAATATTAATAATAGTTTCTGATAGAGAGGCAACTGCAGCTAGATGTTATATATGTATATACCATACTATATAATTGCGAGTCTGTGTGTGTGTCTGTATGTGTGTGTAGTAACTGAAGTACATGCATATACATACATATATAATGTATTACTTAGTTTTATATATATATTAAGTTCGTGTAAGCGCGCACACACAAATAACAATTCGGCCGAACCACTGAACATTATGTACATATGTTTATAATCAACATAATCAAGATATATACGAATATATATAGATAGATAGATAGTAGATAGTCTATTTTATATCTGAGTGTGTAGTTTTTGTAGCTCGGGTGATGATAACTCGATAAAATTGTTCTAACGTAATTTCTTATAGTCTACAAATAATTGAATTACGTTTATTGTGTCTCTCTCTGTGTTGTACGGATCTACATTTTCTCCTGTATAAAGGGGTGCATTAGCGCCTGATTTAGCGATATACGTTTGCCAGGATCCAAGGCAAACATATTCTCCAGCAGGTCTTTAAGCTGCGTCACCTTACGATGCTGATCGTCGGGTAAATTTTGATCAGCAATTAGTTCCTGTTGCAAATTGCGGGATGGTTTCACCACAGGCATGACGACTATCTTTTCCTGAAAAATCAAATATTGCCATCAAAATTTGACAAGTTACTCTTATTTGTATATCTCTACACTTACCCTCTCTGTTAACTTGTCTATTTCGTGATAGAGAAAATTGCAGCTCTGATCGAAATGCTGTTCTCTGAATTGTCCCTTACGCACAATCCGATTGGGTATCTTTCCTTTTACATCCATAAAGAATTTAAGCATTTGATTGTTGCTCTTGCCACTGAACAATATCTTGCCTGTATACAGCTCGTAGATCGTGCAACCGGCTGACCAAGTATCAATGCCGTAGTCATAAGGTATGCCCATTATTATTTCAGGTGCTCGATAGAAACGAGATACCAAATAAGGCGTTATTTCGTTTTCGCTGATGCCCGAGGCAGATCCAAAATCGCACAGCTTCAGTATTAAATTATTCTCATTGACCAAAATATTATCGGGCTTGATGTCCGCATGTAGTATACCCGTCTTCTTCAGCAGTTTAAGAGCAAGGAACAGTTGCTGAGTATAGCTGCGCACCGCTTTAATGTGCAGACCAACATTTTTGCCATATTTCTTGAGAACCTCGCGCAAATTCATGGCAAGGGGCTCAAATACCATGCAAAGATGCTAGGAAGAGAGTTCATAGAGTTACTAATTGATTTTCGAGAATATAGCGAAAGACCTCACCTGCTTGTGGAAAAAGTGCCGATATAAACGCAGGCAATGAAAACGATCGTCAGGATCCGCATCGTTGAGTTTCTTAAGGATTTCCAACTCTCGCAGACCTGTCTTATGCCTGTCATAGGGTATTAAAGAAATATATTATAATCCATTGGTGACATCGACATCAGCAAATAATGCAGTTTTAATTTACTTTTACTGATTGCACTTACATGATCTCATTGTTGCGAATAATCTTAATGGCCACATTGGCTGAGCCACGCGCCTGATCCCTGCTACGCACCACATTGCTGAACACGCCTTGTCCTGTGTAGCCGCTGACGAGGTAACGATTGTCCAGCACCTCGCCAATGCGCACACGATAATAACCCTCCGCATCGTCCCAATTGTCAGTTAGTGCGGGATTTTCAATTTGATGCTTGTTGTGCACAATCGTACTGGGTGACTATAAATAGAGAGAATGAGACAAGCTAACTTTTAGTAACTTTCTATTTAAGCAGTTTCGTGCTCGACATTTACAAGCCTGCGACTCACATCGAAATTTGAATCAACATCCTGATCGGCAAACATGTCCCAGTCGTTGCGTTTCTCTTTAACTGTACTGTTCTTCGAAGCATTTGCGTCGAAAGCTTCGGGTTTAGCAGGTGGCTTTTCTTCTTGCTCAATCGTGGGCGAATGCTGCATCCGCTCGGGCTTTGAGGAGACGGGTGAAATACTTCTCGATTCATACGAATTTGACTTGCGAGGCGTTGGGCTTGTTGTACGCGACTCCTCCTCCGTGGTGCCTAGTTTCTAAGAACGAAAGGGCGAAAGCATTTGTAATAGGGACTACATTTATTTACGTTTGATTTACCTTGACCAGCTCCTCACGTTGCTTGCGACGCATCTCAATGATACGTTCCTCATCATCTTCATCCTCGTTGATGTCAATGTCCAGACTGGCTTCCTCGTCGCTGCTCTCTTTGTCGTGCATTTTCTGACCTTCGCTTAAAGAGCCTTTATAACGATCGCGATCGGCTGCGCCCACACCATTGCCGGAGCTGCGTGCTCCACGTCCAGACCCGGTGCCACGTTCACCGCCACGATCCTGCTCAAGCTGACGTTCGCGCTCACGTCTTCTATCCGACTCAAACTTACTGCGACTGTGGGAACGTGGACGTTGCCAGCGATCGCGATCGCGATCGCGATCGCGTTCACGTTCACGTTCACGCTCGCGCTGCCTACCTCCACGCTCTGGCTGCTGCTGTCGATTATCTCTCTCTGGTCGTCTCTCACGATCACGACTTTGTTCGCGTCTCTCTCGCTGCTTGTCGCGATTGATCTCCTGCCTCAGATCCTCCATATTCCTATTGTATTCTTGGTGATGGCGTCTCTGGTGTTGTTGTTGCTGCTGGTCACTGCGACGGCGAGGCGTGCGACTACGTTGATCGCGTACCGCACGTCGATCACGCGAGTCTCGCTGCTGTTGTGGCCGACTTCTTTGCGGGATTGTGGGCGATGCTTGTCGTCTTCGCTTCTCTGGTGTGGGCGAGGGCGTGCGCTGACTACCACTAGAATCATCCAATAATATAACATCGGGTTCGTTTGAGTTATTGATGTTAGACTGTTTATTATTAGCATGTTTACTAGTTGCAGTTGCCAGCTGCAGTGCTGCAGACTGCGAATTCGGCCTGCGCTTCGGCGCCTCAATAGCTGCCACAATGGGTTGCTGCTGCTGTTGTTGTTGTGGCTGCTGCTGCTGCAGTTGACGCTTGAGTTGCAACGAATTGGAGCGAGTCTCATCGCCTTCAGTGTCCGACATGTAGGCACCCAAGCGTGCCTGCAGTAACGCCTTTTGTCGCATCAATTCCTCCAAATTGAGCTCATCCTCAAGCTTGTCAGGCATCAACACAGGACTGGCTATGTCAATGGGGCTAGAATACATATTATCGATAAGCTATGTGTTACATTTATATATCTTCAATACATACACTTCGCTCTCACTACCAGAAGTGGCAACCTCGAGCACAGGCAACACCTTATTCTGTATGGTCTTTGTGATCTCTTCGACCAAACTGCATGGATCTGTATTTGGTTTGATAATACGAAAGTCCGCGCCATTTGGCGTCAGTTTTGTACCACGCTCTCGACTGGCCTGCATCAGCTCTGTGAATTTGCTACTCAGACCTTGAGAGACAATATTGTTGCGTAGGAGCTGCTGCTTGTCGGATGCATTAGAGGATTCACTTTGTCGATGATGGCGCTTTTTTGATTTCTTGTGCTTCTTGTGGACCTTTTCGCTGGTGCTTGTCTTTTTGTGTTTCTTATGTTTTTTAGACTTTTTATGCTTGGCATGGCGCTCTTCAGCCTCGCTGTTGTCGCTGGAGTCGTAACTGGTCGAAAAAAAGTAAATTAATATACATACACACAACACAAATTTCTCACACACACACAAACAGGCACAGCACACATAACCTCACAAAGCTTTGCTTAATATTTCAATTTTATATTTATCAGTTACCTTTTGTCATCACTCGTCATTGTATAAAATGGATTGTTGCTTGGGGCATGCACTGCTACTAGTTTTTCGTTAAAAATTCAACTTTTTTTTAAGTTTTGGCGTGCAATTTTATATTTGCATTCGACTTGTATCCAAACGTTTGCTACAAGTTCGCGACCACTCAACTGAACAAATGAACTAATGAACTAGTGCTGCATGTTAACAGATATTTAACAGCATCCCATTAAAAAATTTGTAATCGATAGTTGCGAACAACCTGACTTTAATTATGATTTATATATATTTTTACAGTTTAAAAGGGGTTTAATTTTTTTATCTTTTTGGCAGAAAAATATCTTAAATAAACAATAGTTCCGTTAAATTCAATGTCTTTGAATTGACTATTTTGTTAAAAGTTGTGTTCAATTTTACCGTCTTAACATTTTTATGTTAACTTAACAGACTGCAGCACGCCGGCAATGATTGGAAAGTTTATTAATTTTTGTTCGCCACACTCGACGTATTATCAACAATTGCGAGCGACTGCACTTTCGACTTCTTTACGTAGCTTACGGCCTCACAGCACCGCCGTCGACATGGACAAAGTTTATTTGCGCAATGCACAAAACACAGATGAGCTTCATATTACATTTCGCTATGCCAATCAGGCGCTCAAATTGGACCGCAGCTTTAACTTTTGTCGACGAATGGACGAGCGTGTGGATGAAGCGCTCATACGCATACGCAACAATGTAGAAAAAGAGCTTACCAAAAAAAGTAAGAAGAAAGCAAAAGGAGCAGCAACAGTCGAGACTCCGTTGCCTGCCAATCCCAACGAGATTATTGTGGAGTTCCGTCGAGATGGCTCGGACGAGCGTATTTTGGGCGTTACTTTTGAAGAGCTGTTGAAGAACTTGGAAGATGGATTAAAGTTGCGTATTCAGGAAACTAACTTTGATGTGTTACTCAATCAACCATGGATTGACTCAGTACAATTGCCCAGCTCGATACTGGCGGGTTTTCCTGTTTATCCATTAAAGCTTGAGCTAGAGTTTGCCAGCCGGGAGCATAGTACAGCTGAATGGTATAGGGCAGTAAAGCCAGCAAATGGAATATTTAATGAGCAGGTCAACTGGGAGCGTTGCGCAGAAGGATTAATCTATCAAACCTCTTCCTCAGATATTGACCATCATTTAAAGCTGGTGATTAGGCCAGGCAACGAGCAGGGTCTCCTTGGTCCAGCTACGGAATGCATAAGTAAATTGCCCGTACAGCCCGGCCCAAGCGACTGTCCATTTGAGCAGAGGCATCAATATACAAAACAACCGCTGAGCGGTCCCAATGATATTCGAGTGGTCAGCTACAATCTGTTGGCCGATCTTTATGCGGATGGAGATTATGCGCGTAAGACACTGTTTCCATATTGTGCAGCTAATGCACTTAAAATCGACTATCGTAAGCAGCTGTTCATTAAGGAGTTGCTGGGCTATAATGCAGATCTAATATGCCTTCAGGAGGTGGACTTAAAGATCTTTGAACATGATCTAAAGCACGTACTGCACAGCTTTAGTGGCATCATGACGCCCAAGGGAACCTGCGCTGAAGGTGTTGCTCTATTCTATCGAATTTCGAGGTTTGAATTGCTGAAAAACTATGTTTTGCATCTTGGTGATAATATAAGCACGCTGCCCGTCTTTACGCCACTGTGGAACAGAATCAAGCACAATGAGCAGCTGGCCAAGCGCATCTGCGAAAGATCCACCACGTTGCAGTTGTCGTTGCTGCAGTTAAAGGAGACTGGTCGCTATGTTCTGGTGGCCAATACCCATCTCTACTTTCATCCAGATGCGGATCATATACGATTGCTCCAGATCGGTTTCTCGCTCATCTTCGTGGAGCACATCTACAAACAAGTCATAAAGGAGCGTAATATTAGCTCACAAAATATTGGTTTAATATTTTGTGGTGATTTTAATAGCGTACCGGAATGCGGCATCTATAAGCTGATGACGGAGCAATTTGTGGGCAGTGATTTTGTGGATTGGAGCAGCAATGAAGAGCAAGCTGTCAAAGACGTGGAGCTTCGACAGCCTTTCCTAATGAACTCCGCCTGTGGCACTCCGCTTTATACTAACTATACAACGTTATTTGCGGCCTGCTTGGATTATATATTCTATCAAAGCGACAGTTTTGATCTACTGCAATCTGTGCCGCTGCCCACGCTGGAACAGTTGAGCGAGAATGAGGCTATACCATCCATTAAGTTTCCTTCAGATCATGTGGCTCTCATTGCGGACCTCGCATTTAAATCTCGATAATTGCAAGATATACATATGTTTAGAGCTACATAAACTGTCGAAAGTGTCGATTTGGTTGTTATAATAGATTATGATTTCTGTTACCTTTTTTAAAACAATAAACTTAAAGAGTTAAACACGCGTCCTTTATAAACCGTTAAAAGGTGAATTTCTTTGTTAACCGAATTAACTCAAACAGTTCTCTAAAACTTATGATGGAATCGTCGCTAGTATCGGTTAAGATATCGTGTAGAACCCTTATCGACAACTATAGGTTTATATATAATGTAAATACATTATCTTAAAATAATTTGTACTGTCGCTTAGCTGGCCACTGCAACATCCACGTCGTGGTCATCCTTCTCAATGCTCAGCTCCAGTACTGCATCTTCGTCCACAGACATGGTAATGGGTTCCTTCGAGCTTTCTGTTGAGGCAGAGTTTTCCTTCGATTTTCCGCGATTGCTATCGAATTTTGTGGTAACTATGTTATTTAATTCATCATCGTCATCGTCACTGACTTCCATGATGCCATTATTATCATTCGATTCGGAGGCGGCTTCGCTTTCGCTTGAGGATGAGGACCCGGAGCTGTTTTCTTCCTCCAGTTGTTGCTCTAGCTCGTGTATGGTGTACATAAGCAGAGTGAAATCGTTGCGTCGCTTCTGAAATTTGTGCTCCATCTTTAGCTTCTTTTGCGTTAGCTTGTCGATCTCCTTCTTAATAACTTCAATTTGTTTTTCTGTGTCCTTGCGATCGGGCTGTTCCTCAATTAGTGAGGCAAGCAAATCGTATTCCATTTTATTCTTGCGTATTTCCTTTGCTATAATAAGTTCCTTTTTGCTTGCCTCGATTTCCTCCTTGGCAACTTCGATGCTCTCCTGATGCTTTTCAGCTAATTTTGAGTAGTTGTCCTGCTCTTCTTTGATCATTTTTAACGTTTGAACATTTTTTAATGCAGCAAATTGACATTGCGCTAGCTGTGCCATCAACCGATCGTACATGATTTGACTGAAATTTAAATATGATATTAATATTTAGCGTTTAATTGTTGATAATAAATTCTACTTGGTCTCCTGTGAATCGTTTTTGGAGTTGGCCCACTTGAGGAACTGTTTTAAAAGCATGTTTAGCCTGCGATCTTCGCCTGTGCCATCGCCATCAATCAGCAAGCGCTGCTTAATAATCTCCTCTGCATGGAAAAACATTTGCATTTATATAGTTTACTTTTATAAACAAAAAATAAGTTACCGTCGTTCATTGCTGCGTTTTTATTTATTTTACCACACACAAAACACCGGCTGCTTTTTCACCTACAGCTACGTTTTCAAAAGTTATCGATGCTTGAGATTCACCACATGTATGTTATCGTTATTTAGGATAGTCAATGTTCGTTCATTTGTTATCGCAGCAATTTGCATTAAACGATACTTAATAGCACTGCATACGTTTTGTTGTTTCAATTTAGTTTATTAACTGAAATTCACAAAAATGACTGCTGTGCCGCCGCCCGCTAACATATCCACACTTATGCCATTGGGTAAGTAACAAAATACTTGCATTGTTTAATAAATAAAACGTGTAACATGTTGCCGGCAGAACTGGTGGACAAATGCATCGGCTCGCGGATTCACATCATCATGAAAAACGACAAGGAAATGGTGGGCACCCTTTTGGGCTTTGATGATTTTGTCAACATGTTACTGGACGATGTCACAGAGTACGAAAATACGCCCGATGGACGCCGCATAACAAAGCTCGATCAGATACTACTAAATGGCAACAATATTACAATGGTAAGTGCTGATGCGGACAACAGCTAAGAATGAATATATTAATGTTTTCTCTACTCGTTGCAGTTGGTTCCTGGTGGCGAGTTGGCTGAATAGCAATATATTGCACCATGTACATTTATAATAAACATAACTAAAAAAAAACAATTTCGAGTGTTTCATTCGGTCAGTATAGATAGTGATGCCATCTTCTGCCGCTGCTGCTGCTGTTATCTACTCCAAGTGGCAACTCTTAATAAACAAATAAAAAGGAAGCTGAGTACTTCATTTGATTATTCTAGAGAGTGCTGCCAGCTGCTTGGAATCAACCTTCTCATTGGTCAGCTCAAATGTCGGTCCTAGCTCCTGCTACTTTTCTGCTCTGACTAGGTGGCAACTCTGCGCATGCGCATTTCAATTTGAGCGCGCGTTATTTCTACTGCCTTCTATATGCAACATGAACGGCTGACAGTCAACATGTGCCATAAATATAAGTACTAACGGTAATATTCTGGTTGCACGTACTCCCCATTGGCCGCTGCCACATTCAGTACGGCACCAAGCTCGAACGGAAGTGGAACAAACGAAGCGGAAACACACACGACAAACGAATATGAAAAAAGTTTCTTTTCAACAAAACAAATAGTAGCGCAGCATTTATGACTAATTGCAATTGTAGCGTGGTCGGTGATTGAAGCGAGCTGTTGCGCAGATGTATATTAATATTTATACCTCGATTATTATTTATAAAACGCGATATATTTTGTGTAACTTTTGTCGGTATCTGTTGTCGGATTTTTTCTTTTCGGCTGCCAAGCACAATGATTGAGTGTATAAATCAATAGACAAAGAAACCATGAACAGCATGAGCCGCCAGAGCATTGCGTCGGCGGCAACAACAGCTGCCGCCGTCTCCATGTCCGTCTCGAATGCCACCTCGGTGGGCTCACTTATAGCAGCCGCCGCTAGCAGCCAGCAACCAACGGCTTCCCACTATGTGAATGGAACGGGCAGTTTGGGTCGTCTAAAGTACCATCACAAGAGTCTCGATGCCAGTGACGAGGAGCTTGAGTATGCACAGGTAATGTAACTAATATGCATTAAATCAAAAGTCGCCATAGTACAAAGTTATCATCATCATCATCATCCTCCTCCTGCCAGCTGGCTGCTTATTGAGTCATAATGTGTTGTCCTGCAGCTCAATTGAAATTGCCTTGCGGCGGGTGGTGAACATATCTCTTTCTCTTTCACACCCTTTCCATGCATATGTATATATGTGCTTGCCTTGGGGGTGGCTTTTGCCTTTGGTGTGGGTCGAGCTGGGGTTGAAAGCCGCCTCAGCTGTTTAACCTTTAGTCCGTTTCCATAGCCAAAGCTTACGCTTGGCCAAGCAAAGAGCACGCCAAGCACAGCGGCTCAAATCAATTTTCAATAATTTGATGTTATGGAAATAGCTGACCAAAGCGCTGCGCCTTTTCTGTTCATCTTCCCTCACTACTCTTTTCTGTTCCAGCTCTGCTCCTACGCACTCCTCTGCGTCCCTCTGCACTTTCTTCCCTCTTGCATCTTTTATCCTCTATAGTCTATCGTCTATCCTCATATCATCCCTTCTCCCACCCACTCCTCCATCAATCTTTCTTTACTTCTCCCTCCCTCTCTGCTCATTTCTCCACTCTATTCCGCTCCACTCCCACTTCTGTCGCCTGTTCCTGCTTTACCCACACTCCTGAGCTCACAAAATTAATTCAATTATGTTTTTTTATGAGATTTTTGTGTTATGCTTAATGAAGCCCAAAGCGGAACTGTTTGTTACGGATAGACCTTTTTGCTATATCATATGTTGCTGTAGCACAAAATATATTTTTTCTTCTGCATTTTCTTTGCTTTAAGCTTAAAGTGTTTTTGCCTGTTTCTTCATTCTACTTTACGTTTAAATGGAATTTCATTTCGTCTATTACATTAAATATTTATAAATCAAATACCTTTAGTGTGCGGTTCAAATAGTAGTCTAAAGTCGTATAGAATGTAGTAGATGATATTGTATAATATTTAGAATATTAAGTTGTCTGGTAACTAGTTTGAAAGATGGCGATAACTAGCCAGGCCAGATAAGCCACACAATAGTTCAGTCTTTCGATGAACGCCTCCTAAAGGTATTCAAAATGAGCTCAGACACATTTATCTTAGAAAAAAGCAAAGGTAAAATATCCTACACCCATCGTACATCGAACATATATCAATATAAAAAAAAGCTAAGCTCTAATACAAGCATTGACCAGGCTTTTCTGCTATATACGCCCTATTGCCACCCACTGTTTACAGGGTATGAATAGTAGTTTACACCTGGGGATCATCATCATCTATGGCCAGCCACAAATGTGGCACAACGAATGCCCGCAAGCGCTGCCACAGCCAAATGATGTTTGCCCAGCTGTCACGGCTTTTAACAAAAAAGTATTTCATGAATATGGTATGAGGATGGGTTCCTTCTGGCTAACACTTTCACTGAGCTTTAGACGGGTCAAACGGGGAGGCAGAGATAGGATTTGAAACAATGGCAGGCAAACAAGACGCCCACAGACAGCACAGTTAAATAGACAGCGACTGGGCCTTTCATTAAAGCTTTATTGCCAAGGGAAGCGAGAGGCGAGCGCAATAGACATCTTTATAAATATATATATATATATATATATAGAAAGACAGAGATAGGAAGCGAAAGTATTAGGACATTTGTTAGGCCATAAATGGCTTAGTTCCTTGCCTTTTAAAGCGCTTTGAAATGAAAATAAGAAACAGCAAGAGCTAAGGGTTAACGAGAATTCGGTTAAGCTGTATAAGTCAATTATATTTTTTAGTTATGATTTAAATTAATAATAATGAGGCTGATATGGGACTAGCAAGAGTTGGAAGTAGAAGAATTAAAAGAGGAATTAAATTAAAATTAAAGAGGTATTAAAAGACTTGCTATGCACTATCTGAATCGTTTTGGACCTATATTGAAGCTAATAACCCGCTGAGCACTCGATAATATAATGCATAGATACCCACAATCTGGTACTCATTTATCCGATTCCATCTTTCTAGTCCTCTTTATAGTTTCGCCTCCGATGTCATGCACCTCTGATTTACAGTTTCCGAATATCTATATAACCTTTCCTTACATGCGCAGCTCTCGCGGTCCACGCACATCTTAGGCCGCTACAAGTCGGAGCGTCTGTTAGCCGGCTCCAAGCCGGACGAGGATCGGCGACGTCGCACGATCATTGTGGAGAAGAGAAACGATTCGTATGGCTTCACACTGCAAAGCTATGGCATCCACTACAAATGCGACGAGGAGCTGGAGATGATTACGTATGTGGATTATGTGGAATATGGTGGACCGGCTTATCGAGCTGGTATGCGAGAGGGCGACGTTATACTCTCCATCAATGGCAACGATATGGAGAAGGCGGATCATAAGACCATTGTGGAGTTCATCAAGAAATGCGACATGCGCATGCGTATGGTTGTGCTCTTCGAGGATTGTGTGCGGAAGGTGAGATTGAGTATGCCAAAGGCTGTAGATAATCCTCTAAAGAATCGCGTTCTTCTCTATAGGTTGATCTGCACATGCGCTATATACAGCTGCAGAGTTTGCTGCAGCAGAAGATGAACGAGCTGGAGCGTGTGCATCTGCGCGAGCGGGAGCTGCTGGAGGGCAAGTGGAAGACGCACAGCTTGCCGGCGAGGAAGAAAGCGAATGCGAATACCTCGCCGAGTGATGGAGAAGGCGTCTCTCCAACAGAGGCGAGTGTGAATGACCCAGGATTCTATAGACCCGCCTTGTCCACGGAGGATGTGGCTAATATAGCACTGAGACAGCAGCCCGTTATAATTCCTCCACCTGCACAGTTTATGCTCACGTATCACTACTTGGATCCTAGCTATCGGTATCGCTATGTGCTGCCAGGAGGAGGGGCAGCAGCAGCAGCTGGAGATCAGCACTATGTGCTGCAACGCACCGAATCATTGGATACGAATAGCTGCAGTCAGGTAACAGCCAACAGTCAGTACCACAGTGCGAGCGCAGGAGGAGGAGCAGGCGTTGGCGGAGTAGTTGGTGCAGTGAAGCCTCCTGCGCCGCCGCCGCGTACCTGCGAGAAGCACAAGCCACCATCCAAGGAGAAGACGAAGCATTGCCATGGCAATGGACACTCCTGCAATCCCTGCCTGGGCCACTTTCGCTGGAAGTCAGCGGAGAAGTCGCACAGCAACGGCGATAATGTTAGCCTGGACGCCTACGACCTGGCCAGCCCCTGCTGCGAGACACAGTGCGTGCCAAGGCGTCGTCATCGCCAGCACAAGGAGCACAAGCACAAGCATCGAGAGCGGGAGCGGGAGAAGGAAAAGGAGAAATTGGAGGCTAAAGAGAAGCAGGCAATCAAGACACATGCCTCACCTGGCGGTAATGTAACCAAGCCAGCTGCGTCCGTGGATCGACAGGCCAATCATCATCATCATCACCATCATCATCATCATCATCGACATGCACAAGAGCAGCAGCAGCAGCAGCACCAACAGCAGCAGCAACAGCAACAGCAGCCGCAGCACCAGCAACCGCATCATCACTATCATCAGCAGGCGCCTTCTCAAGCGGGCAGCGTTCGCTCTCGCTACTTTGATTTGGCCTCTGGATTAGCTAGCCATTGCAGTCTGCACTCCTGCACCTCTAGTGAGTTTGCTCCCGCTGACTCGGCGTCCTATACCACCTCCATTAGCACGGATACGCTATTCTGGGAGCCCAAAAGCGAGGCTGCACAGTCTTCCAGGCAGCACTCAACCAAGTCGAGGCAATCTTATGAACAGCATCCACAGCAGCAGCAGCAGCAGCAGCAACAGCAACAGCAACCCCAGCTCCATGGACATCATCATCATCATCCTCATTATCATGTAACAGCCACTCAAGTGCAGCCCTCACAGATCTATCCGAATACCATTGCCTATGTGCAAAAGCCCAAGTCCTGGGATAATCTAGCAACCAAGTCACTTGTCGGCCAAAGCTTTAACTATGGCTATTTGGATACAGTTGCCATGAAGCCTCCGGTCAAGCTGCAGATAGCACAACAACGGCATTCCATGCCTAGACGCAATCCATATGGCCGCTATTCCACCTATGGTGATGTAGAGAACTATGCGCCGCCTCCTACCGAATTTGTGGGTGAACTAACAACCACAACGACAACCACCATAACAGCCAAATCCACAGAGGAGCTCCTGGCAGCCTGCGATTGTCTGACACCGCAGCAACAGCAGGCGCTAAAAGCGGCGCAATATCAGCTCAGTCAGACACAGAAGCTATCTCATCAAAACTCCTGTCAGTTGGGCTACTATTCGCATCTGCCCAGGGCAACCAAGGATGTGGGCAGCTCCACAGGACAGCAGCCGCCATCAAACAATGGTTGCGACGTTGCCACCGTGTCGGAAGCAACGCGCTTGTAGAAATCATTTGACTAAGAACTCGTGCAACTAAACAATAACCGTCTTCATAAAAAGAAAGAAATGCACTCTACGAAGTCCAAAACAACATTTAAAACAGTTAAATGATCATGAAATCCTAAACACATTTCCATTTAAAGTCTTAACAGAGTGCATTACTATTGGGGGGTCTACACACGAAACATCGAAATATCGAAAATCATGCAGCCAAATTTTAATTAATTTAAATTTAAAAAAAACAAATGAAAACATATGCATATACCATTGGAGGCGACACACTTACAGGCTATATCGAGCCAACATCTAGTTCAACTAAGCAAAACCCGTCTTTCATGCAGCCATCCAACATAAATGCACTCCAACCAAAGTGTTTTATTCGTTAATAGTCTGGCAACGTTGGAATGCATTTATTTTTGGGGCAATTTCTACATCGAATCAAGTAGTAAAGAAACATTATGCAGCCAAATTTTAAACTATTTAAATTTTAAAGCAGTTGCAAAACATATACAAACAATATAAACATACATATGATATATGTAGCATGCAGTTTCTAATTGATTTTGGATTTATTTAAAGACTGACAGCTATGCGTAGTATATTTTAAAACAAAAAGTGCTTAAATCTATATAGTAAAAAAGTTACGATACATACATATTATGGAATACATATATAATTTTATGCAAGTAGCTATTGTTTTTAAACATACTGTAGATATCACTTAAATATATATACCTTATATTTATTACTAGTTATTATATAATGGAAAAGCTGAACAATGTAGTTTGAATCATTGTGATAGTGTGAAAAGGCAGATACTGATAAAAAGTAATGATTTTAGTGAACTATATATAGAAATATGGTTGATAAAATGGCGCTTTTAATGTAATGCAATTTGTAAATGTTATGGTACTTTATTTATATATATAATATAATAAAAATCATTGTGTGTTCATGTAGTATAACTCAAAAGGTATATAATTAGTGTTTTATTCCAATTTGATCGTGTCGTACCTTTAGTTGAATAACATATTTCGAATAATTCGCCGTTAGCCTCTCAGCTATGTTGGCAATGTTTCAGATAATTGAAAGTTGTCTGATCATCTATTTAATTCAAAACGAGTTTCAACTACCTGGCAGCTCTGTGGAGAGAATTTTTTCGAATACTTAACCGTTACTCTACACACGGCCAGCTGTTTTGGCAGTGCTTCAACCCTCAATTTGATTGTCAAAATACACGCCATCTGGCGTCTCGCGCGTGCACCAGCAAATGTCAGTTTTTTGGGCAAAAAAATCAATACCAACCCCAACCCCAAACCCGCTCGTTAAAAATGTAAATGCGAAAAATTCAATACTGTGCAGCCATACACGACGGTCGCAACGCGTTGCCACAAAAAAGTTAAAACAGAACTCGTGTTCGCAGAATCAAATTTCGAAATTCGCACACAATTTGCAATCGCAGTGCACGCAGCGTCAAAAAGAGAAAGAGAAAGAGTAAAATAGTAAAGTAGCAAAAGCAGCGAAAAGTGCGTGAAACGCGACCGGCAAAAAGGATACAAAAGGCCACAAAGCGAACAGTGAAAGTGACATGGAAGCAGCCCATTAGAGCAGTTCATAAAGTAGTTAACAAAAGAAAAAACACAAAACACACTCGCAATATGTTAGGTGTGGCTATGGAGCGCTGTTAGCGAGCTGCCGGCGCCAGCATCAACAGCAACAACAACAAACACGGCGCGGACTCGCAGTCGCGGTCGCAGTCGCAGCTGTAGAGCGAGACGGGGGCGAAGAGGGCGAGGAAGAAGAAGCGGAAGCGGCGAACGGAGCAGCGCGACGCGCCCAGCTTTAAGCGGCAGCAGTTGACAAACGGCAACGGCGACGGCGACGGCAACGGCTGCGCTGGCGGCTGCTGCTCAAGTTGTTGTTGTTGTTGGTGGCAGCGGCAGAGGCAGAGCCGAGTACAACAATGATAAGGTAGGTTACTTACTCTTTTACTGCCCGCTACCTCTGCCCCGGCCCTAACTCACGCCGTCAATAAAAATGCACTGCACTAAATTGCAAATGGCGCTCGATGTCAATTAAAGCGGGAGGGTTGTTCCGCAAAACTCCAAATTGCAAAGTAGTTAGCTAAATTGGTTAGCTGCTTTTATGGCTAAAAATGATGAATGTTTGGGGTTAGTCTAGCTACTTTTTAGGCTTTTCTTTGTGCTTGATTGCTGTTGTTGTTTCACCAAATTTTATAATTTTAGACTTGTTGGCTAAGGTTAACGCTTAACAATATAGGCTTGGTAGTGTTGGATATGAAAGGCCTTTAATTTTATTAGCCAAAATGGAATTCATTCGTTAAACTAGCTTACCTTTTTTGTGTTCTATAATAGATCATTTAATATACCAGAACTGTCATTTAAATTTGATATTTTGGCTTATCGTCAACTTTAGCATATAGCCACAACTTTCCACTTTATGTTAAGCTCAATAAGTTAACTTAGCATTTTTTCTTCGTGTTGATTTTAATTGGCGTTTGAGTTTTTTGGAAGTATTGCCAACTTTTGTTGATGCGGCTGCGGGCAACGTAATTTAATCAATTCGATAAATACAGATTTGACAACTAATTTCAACTGCCTCCAGTCATAGAGCCAAACAAAGTGCCCAATGAGCTTTGAAAGTTTTGCTACTATTTTTTTTTGGCTACTCAACAGACATGAAGCCGCAACCAGAACATCGCCGTAGAGGAATGGTACAGTGGAAGCCCGATAAATGCTAAACTTGTTAGCTTAAATAGATACTTGATTGAAATAGAGCCTTGATTAATTGCGAATGTGGATTGGAGAGCGAAAGAGACAGAGAGAGAGAGAGAGAGAGAGAGAGAGAGAGAGAGAGAGAGAGAGAGAGAGAGAGAGAGAGAGAGAGAGAGAGAGAGAGAGAGAGAGAGAGAGAGAGAGAGAGAGAGAGAGAGAGAGAGAGAGAGAGAGAGAGTAAGAGTAAATGAATGCCGTGAAGAGATATTTTGATAATAAGCATCTCTCCGTTACAAGTGATCTATATACATACAGTAAAAGCTCGCTTGAGAAGAATGATAAAGATTGTGAAAGCAGCAGGAAATAGCAAGAAACTTTGAGCATTTTATTTATTCTTAACACACGATCAATATACATATGTACAGTATAAGCTCGCTTAAGCGAACAATAGTGTTGAAGGAGTAGAGTAGTGATTGGCAAGTGATCAACATATGTACAGTCAACGCTTGTTTCGATGAGCTGCGAAGGTTGACAGAGTATAAAACAATAGTTTTTTGAAAATTGTTAACCCTGGGTAATTGTTAGTTCAATAGAGTGTTTACTGTCATTATAGCTGTCATCAAAAATGCACTATTTGCATGCACACATACACACACACATATATATATATATATATATATTCACGATAAATTGTGCTCAATGCTGGCATTTTGTGGAGGCCTCTGAACTTGATAATTTTGCTGCGGATGCAAATGACAACATCATTATCAGTGTCAAAATGCCATTAAGTGTGTGTGGGTGTGTGTGGTATACAATGCCTTTGAAGGATTACACACACACACATAGATATGCATACACATAACAAACAAAAAAGAGGAAGAAGTATTGAAAATGAAAAGGAGAAGCAGAGTGAAAGAAATGTGCTGCTTTGTCAAATATGGCAGAGAGCATGGAGTAGCAGCGAGTAATATTTGCCAGAGTGCTGGCGGGCATTGAAAACACACGCGCACACACACACATACATGCTAGCACACACATGACTCTGACTGTGACTGTGACTGTGTGTGTGTGTGTTTGTGCCGCTTGGCAGTTAGTCAAAAAGCGTCTAGCGTTGAGCGCCAAAGTGCGTTGCATACTTTTTAGCGCGCTTTGTTTGACTCGAATTGGGATTTTCCCCGAGCAGCAGCAGCAACAACAACAACAACAACAACTAGTTAAAACAGCCAGCAGTATGTGTGCGTATGTGAGCAAGTTAGAGAGAGAGACTAGAAGGCAGGCATAGCTTTATTTTATATATTTTTTTCTTGCCACGTTGACAACATGCAGTTGGCTTTGCCAGGCGACAAAAATGTCCTTGACCATTTGCACTATTGCGTAGAGCAATAAATATAAAATTTCAATGGCAGCCTTTGACAAACAGCTTAAACTGAAAGTCAGCTTAAATTGAAAGTCAAAAATCGTTTGTGGGTAATTTAAGGCATTAATAAAGCTTAAGCTAAGCTTAAAGACTTGCGGCCTTACATATCTGATTCTATTTTATATTTATATGCAGCATGTTTAGACTTAGCTCTCTTATTCTCTTTCTAGCCAAAATGTCTCAAAGCTAAGCTTTTCATAATAGTTTTAGAAGTCTTCGAAAACTAGACCTAAGAACTTGTTCTTATATTACTATACCTATACCTATAATTTACCAAAAGATATATATATGATCTAAATTTATGGTACTGCAGTTCCAAAGCTTTTAAGTTTTCTTAGCTATTCCATTTTTGGTACCAAATTCCTAAGGTTTTAAAGTTGTCTCAGTTTTTTTCTTTTGTCTACTGATAATAAGGTCTCAAACATACAGTTGAGCCGCGCTAAGCCGATTTGTACTAGAATTTGTTCAAGCTTAAGTACTTCGTTTGATTTCATACCGTTTGCCTCAAATATAGTAAAAGACTTTCAACCTGAGAGAGTGAGCCCATTTGAGAGCTTATCAAAAATCTAAACTGCCTTCAAAATCTAAAATGAATTTGCTTTCGTTTGTTGGATGTTCTAGCTGCTGCACTCTTATATATATAAATATATATATAAATGTATGTGTGTGTTAATAAGCATTGGCATAGTGGCAACGACTTTGCTTAGTATTTGTGTTTTTTCATTTCCGGTTTCCACATGTTGACATGCTGCTGCTGCTGCTGCTGCTCCTACTCCAGCTGCTGTTAATGATGATGGTAATCATAATGAAGTCAGCAGCAGCTAGCACTCCGTGCGAGAGCCGTGAGTCAGCTTGTTAGTTTATCAGCTTTGTTTGGCACATCTCGCATCGCCCATCGCCCACCTCGCTCCCTTTCTTCTTGTCCACGCTGCGTATGCGTAATTTTCATATTATGTAATTTGCACTTGTTAAATGGACTCTTAATTTGATTAGGAGCCACCGTAAACATAAAGTGCCACATTTTCTTATGCTCAGCTTGACTAAAAACCATATTTATGTCGCTGGCAGCCGCTGCTGCTGCTGCTGCTGCTGCTGCTGCTCCTTCTCCTCTTCTCCTGCTGCTGCTCCTTCTGCTTGTCCATCTCCTGCTTCATCTCTTTCTCATCTCAGTTGTGACTGCTGCTGATGAGCTCATATTGAACGTTTTTCCTTTTTTTCTTCTTTTTTTTTTGTGCCAGCGACCTAGTTTGGCTCAACCAAAATCAATGTGG